ACAGCTAGAAGAGAGCCAATAAGTGGCACTAACTAATCTTACGTCACTGCATTTTTGGGGGCCGTCCTGGATGATTCCAATATATCAGATGGTGAAAATAGAATTTCGATTTCGGTAATACTTTCGAAGTTCGGATTTATACTTTCGGCAAATCGAATATTTCGGCACTCCAAATACACTCGGAGCAATTATAAGTCTAATATTCTTATTTAGTTTTAATGCTAATCCTGAATAATCATATGGTTATCTAGCATTCCAAAAATATCTTGATCAATAATGGTAATGCCTTAATTGCTGATTTCGGTATTTCAAAGCAATTAAACGATTCTATTGCTACTTCATCCTCCGGAATAAAGGGTTTGCTAACGTACATTGATCCACGTTTCATTCATGACAAAGAAAAAACTGTCAAACGTGATAAACAATCCGACATATATAGCTTAGGTATATTATTTTGGGAGCTTGCAAGTGGAGTTCCCCCATTTAGTGAGTTTTCAAATATAAATATTCTCATAAAAATTTTACGAGGAGAAAGGGAAAAATCTATCGACAATGCACCATTAGGTTATGCTAATCTTTACGAGAAATGTTCGTCATTCAATCCCGACCAGCGCCCAACAATAGACGAAATCATAAATGACCTAGAAACATTATCCTCAATTGCTATTGAGTGTATTACATCTTGCATAAATACAAGGATTGAAACTGATGTTAGTATTTTTTTAAAAAAATTTTAACAATTTAAAATACCTAAATCAAATATTAAATTAATGTAAAACTAGGTAATCATAGGTAAGGTCCCACTGAAATGTTTGACATGCTGAAGTACTTTTGGTGGATTGATCGGTCAAATCTAAACCTCTGGGAATTGAAATTAAAAGATTTAGAACATAATTTATTAAGTAAATTGGTGTTCAAGTCTTAAGTAAACTTATTCTCTATGTACATTACACGAGTGCCATCAAGGGAAGAAAACCTGCCATCGGATTTCAATTATATTTATTCAGGATCCCAATTATTCATTAAAAATTTGACCATGATAAATTACGTATAAAACGTGCTGGCCGGATTTTTCATGGATGATTCCTGAAGGCCGGAACGAATACATTTGAAAGCTCAATAACAGGTTTGCCCTTGATGGCACTCATATACATCAAACTTCCACTGTACAGTAATTTAAAATTTCAGTTTGGTTATTCTTAATTAAAACCTTTTGCTTCATAAAGCCAAAAGTCGCACTTTAGCAAGATATGTCAATTTTTAGCAAGATATGTCAATTTTGTACTACAAAACTAAGTATAAATTTATTTTACTTCAAAAGATACACCTGTGACGCAATGGAAAATTATTATTTTCACGTTTCTTGGATACACATTAGAAAATTTTGATTTTTTTATCATTTGGTTTGCTATTCCACGGTACGTTATTAATATTTATTTTATCCAATCATTCACTTCACTTAATTAAAATTTAAGATTATTTACAGCATCGCTCATGATTTTGGTGCACAACCATCTGAAGTTGCTGCAAGGTAATTATCTATTAAAATTAAAAAAAAAAACAAAAGACTAATTAACATTAATTATATAAAAATTTTAAAAAATGAAAAAAAACTAATTAGTTAACCTTTTTTTATCAAGTTTAATTGCATTATTAGGTTTGCGCCCTGTTGGAGCGTTAATCTTTGGTATATTAGCTGATACATACGGCAGAAAATATCCACTTATCATCAATATCATTTTATGTTGCATATTTGGGGGTGTTTCAGGATTTGCTCAAAATTTATATGCTTTTATAGCATTACGAGCAATTTTTGGAATCATGATAGGAGGCGAATGGGGAATACGCGCTGCATTACTAATGGAAAGTTTGCCAATAAAATCTCGCGGGTATAAAAGTTAAAAAAATATTAAATTATTCAGTAGTTTCTTCACATTTATCTTTACAATTATCTAATGATTTTATATAATTATTTATTAGATTATTTTCTGGAATTTTACAACAGGGGCTTCCAACGGGTTTCATACTTGCTGCATTATTACGTTATGCAGTAATTGATTCTCTAGGTTGGCGTGCATTGTTCTGGCTAAGTTCTTTCTCCGCTCTTTTAATCGGTTTAATAGGAACTTCTATAAAAGAATCTAAATCATGGAAAAAAATATTTGGTGTGCGTAATAACAATGGGCATAATTTGATAGCCGAAATGATGAAGGTTTGCTAATTTTATTTGTTAGTGCTGGTGCTGAAATTTAGCTTGAGATTTTAGATCAAAGAATATATACTACTATACTCTGGTTAGCGAATCTAAGACTTAAAAAAATTCAAATCAATATTTCATTAAATTTCAGCGTCATTTGTGATTTTTATTTTTCAAACAACATATAACTTTGTGATTTGAATAAATTAGACGCTTAAAAATAACTGGCTAAGGATAATTCGTTTAATTATGTTAATGACGTGTATCACGTCAGCTTATTTCGGTGAAAGAATTTTACTAATTATTACATTGATCACCTTGTAAATTAATATTATTTATCATTTTAGTCAATTAACATAAATTCTTTATCAAAAGGTATTCTGGATCTTTTTCGTACGTATCTTAAAGATATTAAAGATATTAAAAAACAAGACCTATTTTCAACAGGTATCTATCCTTTAATTCAATCGATTCTGCAGTAGAGTTTGGAACCCGTTTTATTCTTCAAATGTTAAAACCGGTTTTAATCGGTATAAACATGTGAAAAATAAAACCGGTTCCAAACTCTATTCTGCAAATTTAGATGAAAAAAGATAAACAATATTTGATCCCATATTTTCAGATGAAATCGAAGTAACAGCAATTATGGTTAATGTCGGTGCTATAATTGGCGGTACATTATTAGGATATCTTTCTCAAAAGCGCGGTCGTAGATATATGATTATTATATGCATGCTTATTGCAGGAGCATTCTTACCTTTAGTTACAATGGTTATTAATCGTGTTTCATTGATTTTTGGTTCCTTTTTTGTATATTTCTTTATTCATGTAAGTATAGTTTGTTTCACTTAAAAAATCTATGATAATATTCATTATTTTTATTAATTAGGGTGCCTGGAGTATTGTACCTGCTTATTTGATCGAATTATCACCACCAAATTTTCGTGTAACATTTTCGGGATTGGCATATCAATTAGGTGGCTTGATTGCTGGCTCATCAGTTCAAATTGAAGCTGAACTAGGCAAATCTTTTACTAATAACGGAAATCCTAATTATGGGTTGGCTATTGCAATTTTTTCCGCATGCAACATTGTTGGTGTAATCATGCTTATTTTTTTTGGCGGGGAAGGTAGAGATATTGATCTGATGAAACAAGTAAATGAAAGTGAATTGCAAAATAGGATCACTAATCAAATAAATGAAATAGTTTGATCTTAAATTACTATGAAAGGTTTTATTAGCTATTCTTTCAGACATTTCTTATCTAGAATACTTCTAAAGTAGTTTTTCTCAGCGTTGAACAATTGGACAAGTGGGTTATCTGATGAAAATTTAAATTTCTAAAATTGCCTGTAATTTGTTTAAGAATAGGCCTGTTCAGATTTAAGCAAAACAAATAATTAGGACAATACTATAGGAAATTGCTATTTCCACTATACACTGTAATAAATCAACTGTTGCTAGTATAGTTATTGAAACTTGTACTAATTGCAAATTAGATTTTAAAAAATGTATTACCTGGACGACTGATAATACAGCTTATATGTCTGAATATAAAGGTGGTGCAGTTAA